CCAAGAGTGGTGGGGCGCCATTAAGTGGTTTTAAACAGGGAGGTGACGTGGTCTGATTTTGCCAAGGTCGTGGGAGCTGCAGTGTGGCGGGCAGACTGGAGGGAGCCAGAGCAGGTGTTAGGAGGGCCTTACAGCAGTCCTGGTAACACAGGAGAGGTCCAGGATCAGGACGGGTGTGGTCAAGGTAGAGAGACCTGGATAAAATTGAGGTGAAAATCTGGATGTGGGGTAAGCCAGAAGTGGGGTGCTAAGGCTTAGGCTCATGGTTTTATTGTGGTTGTCACGCTCTAACATCACCTACATACCTCTTTTTTTTTAAAAAAAGGCAGAAGGAGCCCAGGAAAGTGTCTCAGGAGAGGTAGCCTGAGGGCCTCGAAGCTGCAGAGCAGGGCAGTGATGGTTATGCTAAAACCTGTGTCTGCCCACCTGGCCCACCGGCCTCCACCTTGTCCACAGTCTGACTGAGCCTCACAGTATGTTATGCTTTGAAGCCCATTCCAGAAAACCAGTCAGTTCCTGGATTTCAGCTGCCTCCCTCCTCTCAGAGTCCACTCCTGGGGCACGATGGCACAAACCCAGCAGGCTGCCAGGCAGCCTCCTCCCACTTTGGCCCTGAGACTCTCCCACTGAACTGAGAGACAACTGATGTCTCCCCTGTTCTCCATAGAACTTTGAGAAAATAGGTTTGTGGGACCCAGGCCCTTTCTTTTTTCTAAAAGGAGACAAACAAGGCTTCAAAAGTGGGCGTGAAAGTCAAGACACTTTTCTAACTTGGCAGGTCAGCCCGGGTGTTGGGGGCGAGCTCTGTGAGTGTCGCTCTGCCACAGCTGTTTGGCCGGCCCTGCGTGTACACCTGGGCAGAGCTGAACTTGAGGCTATGGGTGGAGGGTCAGCCGGCCCAAGCCTCAGCGGCAAGACGGCGGAGGTCGGGCCTAGGAGCCACTGGCCCCGCCACAACTCATCGCAAGTCAAATTAAGGGAATAATGCAAGCCTAGTAGATATTTAATGAGAGATTATTTCTGGAGATTATAAGGATACAGCAATTGCAAATAAATCCCTGACCTTTTCTGAGCCCGGGCTCAGTAAAAGAGCTGAATCACCTGCTTGAAGGGATTAAGGACAGCCGCTTCCATCTGGCGGGCCTCTCAGACTCTTTCCATCATTAGCAAATTCTGCACCGTGGTGATGGTGTTCTAAGCCTTTTAGTGGGAACCGGATTTTCAGAGTAGATCTCATTTAACTTAGATTATGTACCTGCTGGGGAGAGCTCAGGACTGGTCATCTGGTTATGGATGCACTGCAGTCCCCGTCACATCAGTGGTACTTGGTACGTGTTAAATAATAAAGCAGTTGTTCATTGTTAGTAACCTAATCATTACGTCAGCTGGCAACTCAAGTTGATGAGAGTAGAAGTCAAGTCTGTGTGTGTGCACGTGCGTAAGCGTGTGTGTGCGTGCGCACCAGAGAGATCCACAGAAATGCCAGGGTAAGGGGCAGTGTGATAACTTACAATGCAATAACAGGTCAGAGATTTAGAATGATGGTAGTTAAACTGTATTTTATGAGTTCCTTGTTGGGAACTGTTGTTTGATTTGAATTTCATTTCTTAACAGTTTTGTTTAAAAATCTCATTATCGTCAGTATACAACTTGAAGCATTAGAGGCTTACAGAGAGTTTACTTTGAGCTGTTAACATTTGACTTTGCAATACGTGAATTTATTATATGTGTTTGACTTAGGCAGCTAATATATACTGATGGTTATGCTGCATTACATGTGTAACGCGTCAGGCCTTTATGTGTAACATCTGTGTACGATTTGTTTCAAGAAAAGGGGCTTACTGGTGTAAAACAAATTGGGGAACTTCTGATGTTGGGGAAACCAAAGAAGGAATATTGACTTAGACATTTGGGAGGAGGGGGTTGCTTTGCCATGTTCTAAAAGAAGTAATTGTAGTTAATGTAGGTTAGCGGGCTTTTGGTTTTTTCTGGATTTCCTTGGGAGGTCCCATTGTATTCTTTTCTGTTAGCTGTTACTTACCTAGAAAAGGACCCAGTTTTCCACAGTTCTGCAGGAGAAGTTCAGGGACTGATTCGTCTCTGCAGGGTTATAGCTAGCTCTGTCTGTTTTTCTTCTCCTAATTGGGCTGGTGGCTTTATAAGTGTGTATCTTCTGGCCATTGGAGTCAGCTGCCAAATTATTTCCACGTTTTCAAAACTTTTATCATTGTTCATGGGGTAAGGAAGCAAAATAGTCTTTGTCCACAATAGAAGTCCGTCAATGCCTAGAACAAGGCCATGTCCACAGACCTCTTCTTAAAGTTTCCAAATTTGGAATCAATCAGCTCCCCAGAGCACTGTTCACAGTTATGGTTCTTTTTCTCCCAAACATCTCTGAGTGTTATCCCAATGCAAGGATCCTCTTAAGCACTTCTCAAAAGAAGAACCAAAAGGCTTCAACTGACTATTGAATCACAGTTATGGACATTCTGGAAACCTCCTTAAGTATAGAAAGTAATTTCCTCTCTGACAAATACTTACCAATGGGCGCTGCTCTGACTACTGTATAAAGGAATGAAAATTTTCCCCTACACATAAAAGGTGCCCAACATCATTAGTCATTAGGGAAATGCAAGTCAAATGCAAGTCAAAACCACAGTGAGATGCCATTTCACACCCACTCGAATGGCTATAATAAAAAAGACAAAAGCAAGCTTGGCAGGGATGCAGAGAAATTGGAACCTTCATATATTGCTGGTGGGAATGTGAAATTGTTCAGCACTTTAGAAAGCAATTTGGCAGTTCCTCAAAAAGTTGAGCATAGTGTTACCGTATAACCGAGTGCTTCCACTCGTAGGCGTATATGTCCACACAAAGACTTGTACACAGATGTTCCTAGTAGCATTATTCACAATAGCGAAAAAGCAGAAACAGCCACTGCTGAATAGATGAATGAAATGTGGTATATCCAGGCAATGGAATATTATTTAGTTGTGAAAAGGAGTGAAAGTATCAATACTGCAATCTTAGAGGGATCTGGGAAACATACTAGATACAAATGACCTCATATTATATGAAATAACCAGAATAGGCAAATCTATAGAGACTAAAAGATTCATGGTTTCTAGGAGCTGAGGGGAGGGGGGAAACAGGGAGTGACTGCTAATGTTTGTGAGGTTTTTTGTAGAGGGTAATGATGTGTTCTGTAGAGAGTAGTAATTGGTTCATAACTGCAAATATACTAGAAATGAATGAATTCTCAGCTTTAAAGGGGTGAAGCTTACAGTATGTGAATTGTATCTCATTAGAGATGTTATTTTGAAAAAAATCTTCCCTAGATTCCAACAGATACTTTGGACTCTGTATTAGAGTTTGTTGTAAAATTGGAAAAAGTTTTTAGCATGAGTTAATTGAGTTTCATTTGAAAGAATGATCTCCGTCTGCATCAGAAAGCTTGATATAACAAAACTTGCAGAGTGAACACTAGGACTAGGTTCATACTAGAAAAAGCAAGGAATTGGGTTAGCAGGCTCCTCATAGCTTTAAGAGCATAAGAGCAGTGGTTTGTGTGGCAGGTGGTCTCCAGGAAGAACATTGTTTTCCTCCTTTCTTGATACATTCCTTACTATCCTAGAGGCCAAGGATATTATGTTAATAAGTACCAGCAGGTGATCAGCACACATGTAAGAACAGGATTTGTTTCCCTTTGAGAAGAGAAGTTTGGGGGAATTACCATTCCTTTTTTGTTTGATTTGGGGAACTTTCAGTGGGTTTTTTTTTAAAGGAATTTTTCTTTGTTATATCTAAGTTTACCCATATACATTAAAGACTGGAGAAAGATTTCATTTGGATTTGATCCAAGATGAGTTCAAGTTTTACTTAGTTCTCATATTTTGCAAGTTTATTTCTTGCCCTAGGGTGATGACAGATCGTTTAGAAATACTCACCTTCCTACTTTCTACCATTCCCGTCTCCACTTGGAACATTTGCCTGTAGAATGTGTTTTGTCCCGATGTCTGAAGGCAGTCAAAGATGAACTCATTCTGACAGATTGCCACACACGTCTTATTATTGGGTAACCAGAGTGTGGTGGTGATTTTGGTGGGTTTCCAGCCTTGTTGCCGGGTTGACAGCTGGTTCTGTGCTGTGGACAAAGTGGCTGCGATTGATCACGTATTTTCTGAGTGACATTGAGGGGTTTAGCGCAGATGGAGGACTCTGTCGCTGCCTGCTGATTTACTGCATGGAGGACGGCTCCATTGCCTTAGTGCTGTTTCCTTAGGTAGCTTCGTTGTCCCTGGCTGTTGTAATTTTCCTTCTGGTCACTTGCCCTTTTTTCCATTTTTCTAGTCACCTGAGCAGGATTTTACTTCTCTCTTTAACTCAGGGTCCCTTTTAAGGCAGTTAGGTTGTGCAGGCTCTGGAGTGAGTGTCCCACATATTAGCTCTGCAGCTTTGGTCCAGGTGTTTAGCTTTGCCAAATTTCAGTTCCTTCATCTGTTATTTGGGGCCCATGATGGTACCAGCCTAGAGGACTTGCTGGGACTGAATGCGATGATCTCTGTAAAGCGTTCACCTGACATTTGTGGAGCACTTGACTTCTGCTCTTTGAAGCAGACCAGCAAAAGCAGCTGATCCTGCAGCTCCTGCTAATAACAAAACACTTTAAAGGTTGCTTAGTTGTTCCTTCGGTAAAGTGCTTGTCACTCTGTGCTGCAGTTTCTTCTGCTGTAAATAGAAGATAGCCTTGCAGAGAGTTACTTTGAGAATTAGGTGAGATAAAATATGCAAAGCACTTAGAACTGTACCTGTCCTATGGTAAGCTCCCAATGAATGCCATTTTTTGTTTTTATTCAGAGTCACCTCTCTACCTTTAGTGGGAAAATTGGAAAGGATACATGGTGGCTCCGTGCGACTGAGTCATTCTGGGTTGATCAAGCCTTGTTCCCGGGTTGATGTGCAGGGCCAGCAGTCTGACCGCCCTTTTCTTCCTCTTTCAGCTGCACAGTTGGACAGCATTGGCTTCAGCATAATCAGGAAATGCATCCACGCTGTGGAAACCAGAGGTAAAGTCCTTCAACTGATGGCATTGTTCTCAGCGAAGGTCACACATCTGGTGAGGCGTAGGGCCTGCTACCTGCTGTTTCCCAGTTTTAAGTGACTCATTAACTTCCCAAGTGCCATTGTGTTTCCACGAGTCATGTTGCTCTGAAGCTCAGGGGCTCTCAACCAGTTTGGTGTCCTCCACCTCTTTGGCAGATCAGAAGAATGTTTTAAATGTATAAATATCAAATGTGTGGGATGATAAGGAAGCCAGGTAACTGAAGTTCAGTTAAAATACCAAAAACCATGGTTGTGGTATAATAATACATGTGTTTCTTTGTTTCCGTTTAAAGTTACAAAGTATAACAAAGTGAAACACTTTAAGTGGGTCTGATAACTAACATAATTCAGAAATAGCTTAGTTTAAGATGTCTGTAACAATTGTAACACGTTAGAAAAAGATCTGCGATTTCTGACCAAGTTGCAGGTACTGTTAATGTGATGACTTGTTGCTTATATCATAGTGGAAGAAAATGCTTCATTTCCATCTTAGGTTAGTGAAAATAAAGATGTGATTGTTTTCCTATCCAAGTTGATAGACACCGTGAATTCTCTAATGGACCTCTTGGAGGGTCTGTGGACCCCGAGTTAAGAGCCCTGCCCTGGGGACTATCCAAAAAGGGAGAAGGGGTGAGGCCCTGCCTGTCACACATTGACCTTTCCTGGGTCCACAGGAGCAGGGCTTTGAGGTCAGGGAAGCTGGTTCATCCTGATGGTCTCCATCCCCTCCTCAAAGGTGACCAGAAAGGAGATTTCCTCGGTTCCAGCAATTGTGAGGTTCGAGTGCACTGGTCTGTTACACCAGTGAGAAAAACCGATCACTGTCTCTCCACTGGATTTGATTTGAACCAGTGTCAAAGATTTGCATCTTATTTATTCTGCAGCCTCTCAGCCCACCAGTCATTTTTACTTGTGTGAGGATGTTCTGTCTTTTAAAGCAGGAGCTGCAACTCTTACCAGTTGAGAAATAAAAGCATCTTTATAAGGACTATGAAGCACTGAGTAGAGGGGGAGGCAAAAAAACTGACCTTATAAGCCTCTACTCCTATGTATCTAGTCAAAAAGTATTCTTTCCAAGGTCATTATTTTAATGTGTGCTAACCCTTTTTAAAATGTTTGCTTATTTCTGCTATACCTTCCTTTGATGAAGAGTTAAGGGAGCGTGCAAAGACATGTAAAATGTAGCCAGAGAATATAAAGTTAGAAGTAGGTGAGATTTCTGAGAATTGATCTTGAGGAATTAAAGACATGGGCCAGCTTGAGCCATAAAGATACTTATACAATGGGGTTATGGTAAAATAACAAAAAATCAGAAACTGGCCAAACTTCTCAAAAACTGGTTAAATCAACAGTGTGCCACGTCCATGCAGTAAAAAAAAAAAACTAAGGAATCACTCAAAATGCAGTGGAAATGCATTGATTGAGATCCAAGATTTTCATTATTAAATATTAAGCAAAAAACACAAGTTCTGAAACAGCCTGCCCGCTATGAGCCCGTTCTGGGAGTGGGTAGAGGACAGCTCGTACCTGCTCAGATACCTTTGTGTGTCAGTGGCTGTCTCTGCTGTTTGCACTGTCTTCCTTGGATTTATCTATTTTCATAACTGCAGTTTCTGTATTTTGGGGTTTCTTTTGGGGGGGGGATGTAATTAGGTTTATTTATTTTAATGGAGGTACTGAGGCATGCGCTCTACCACTGAGCTACACCCTCCCCTTAGTGTCTGTATTTTTTAAAGTATGTATTACTAAGGTAATTTTTCAGCAGGCATTTAGATTTGCTTGTTGTTTTAAAAGAAAAGAATCAGAAATAAGAGGTACGGGGTTAACAAAAGGAAAGGCATAAAAATGGAGCCCAAAGTGAGTTCAGAACAAAAGTCCCTTCCCCTGCTCCATGAAGGTTGCGTACTTGCCAGAGGAGGGCCAACCTCTTTGTCTGTCAGTTTTCAGCTGCCCAAGCCAGGAGGGATACCTAATCATTTGAAACCCTTCCAGAAGCTCAGGAGGGTGACCTTTCCTGATGTAAAACCAGGAGATACACACAATAAGTAGCAGAGGAAGAAGAGGGTCGCCAGATGGTTTGGTCTCTTTAGCTTCTGCCTCCTCATCC